GCGTTTAACTGTGCATGGGACCTCTTAGTGCGTTGATGAGGTTTTAGTGACACTGTCACCCAGAACCCAGCCCTCATTGTTTAGGGAGTGCCTTTGTGTTTTTATACTGGTTTTACTATTCAGATTATGGCTTGGGTTTGAGTATACTACTGTCAACCACCTGGTCTTTTAATTACTTATTCCAGTAAATTTAAGTTTTGTGAAGCATTTGCTTCTCAGATTAAGACACTGTTAGAACCTAAAGTAGTAGCTGATGGGGATCTGTGAATTTTTTTTTTTTAATTGAAGTAGATTGTCTAAAACAGGCATTCTCATCTGTATTTACCCAGAACCTCACTCGTCACATGCACTGCAGGTTACAGTTGGTATTGAATCTCTCAGTTTGTGGTTAGTGAAGACTGATATTCATTCCCAAACATTGGTTACTGCAGCAGCATTTTTAATGTGTAAAAAAAAAAAGCCACTAAGGCCAAATATTTTTTTAAAAACCTTGTACAAATCCTACATTAATCTAAGCTTTGCTGCGATGCTGTGTGGCTGGGACAGGGTGTGCTAACCAGAGGGCTGGGATTGCAGAAGAGCATTTTAAATCGCAGGAGTAAAGAACTTATAATATTTATAATTTTGATGAGTTTATTTTTATAGGGAAGATTTTTCTCCCCTAAATTGTTTCTGGAATGGCAAAATTATTCCCATTATTAAAAATTTAAGTTCTTAAAAAAAATCCCTTCCTGATGAATAAGATTTCAACAATGTCTTTAATCAAGAGATTCAACCATAAGAAATGACTGGTTTCTTAGATTCTTGTATGTACGACAGTGGCAATTTCAGCTTCGTAGGTAAAGACAGCCGCTTGGGGCATGTTTCACTTATTTGTTGTCTGCTAGCTTTTTAAATCTCATCCCTCTCTGGCCATAATGTATGGAAAAACTTAAGTTTTGTTTCTTAAAGTCTTTAGAAGAGTAACATAAACATCTATGTTTTCTAGAATAAAGGGAAATTGGTGCATATATGAATGTTTAGTAAAGGCTAAACTCTTCCATCTCATACACAATTTAATTCATGAAAGAACTGTTTCCTGTTTTATTTGACTCGGCTGCCTAAATAATTTTTTCAAAGCATGGAACATATTACCATTTTAATGACCTTCTCAAGTTCAACTATATATATGAACTCTTAGCTCATAGTCTAGTCTTTTCAATGATCTTCCACCCCGTCACTCTCTACCACGTGGTCACCCTTGCAGGCTGCAAGGTGCATGTTCAGGTCCCAAGACATGACTCGCTCATTTGTGGCTTTTTCCTTTCGATCCGGCTTCTTCTGACTCCTTCACTATCTTCTACAACATGTCTATCATTCTCAGATTTGAAGTCAAGATTCTATCCAGGGAAAAGAACCCAAACTCTATAAACTAATGAGGTTTATTCTGAGCTGAGTGTGTGCGACCATGGTCTGGAGAGCCACGCGTGAGAATCCTTGAGCAACTGGTCTCACCACGGTTAGGTTACAGTTTGGTTTTTTACATTTCAGGGAAGCAGAAATTACACAAAAAATTATAAATCAATACATGGTAGGCATACTTTGGCTTGGCCCCCAAAGACAGGAGATTGTGAAATGGGGCATTACCGGCTAAGCTGGGCTTAAATATTCTTTGATGTGTAATTGGTTAAGGAAATGAAGCTTTGTCTAAAGGCTTGGAATGTTTTAAGTTAAGATAAGGAAGTTTGTTAATCAGAGACAAGTCACAGGACACATACCCCTACTGGATTTATACCCCCACTCAAACTATCTGTTCAGTAAATGGGTGACTTACAGGTATGGTTTAAGCATTTTCTGGAATAACCTTAGGCCTGTTAATGAGTTACAAAAGGGATCTTGAAGAAGGGAGGAGGGGGCAGGACGAGGCATGTCTGACCACCCTCCTTATGGCCAGCAACTCAGCTTTAGGGTATTTCTGGGATTGCCTAGGCCAAGAGGGGGTCCAGTCAGCTGAGGGGCTCAGGATTTTATTTTAGTTCATAGTTCACTCACTTCCAAGAAGCCCAGCCCCACAAGTGCTTTCTAAAGCACTCATACTAGGCTTTAGATCATATTCTACCTATCGGTCTCATCTTCCGTGTAAGGATTCTTCAGTGTATCATACTCACTTAGCTTTGAGCTATCTAGGTAGGAAACATTGCGTTCTCCGCAGTATGCAAGGTAATTTAGTTGACTCTTTCAGCTTGCTTTTTACCTGGTCTGGTGATGGTTGGAATGAATATTGGCCCAAAGTGGATGAGAAGTTATGCTCCAATGGAGTACCATGATGCCATTGTATTGTAGCAAGGCTTCTACCCAAGAAAATAGCCTGGCATTGTTCTATGCAACAGCCACGTTCCTAATTTTATACCTGAATTTTTCTTCTTTTAAACTAACAGGACCTGATTTTGGCTAAATGGGTTGTCCCTTCCAATATAGCCATGGTAGAAGATACGCTTTCCCAGGGCAGGATAAGATGTTGACCTAGGAGAGAGCATTTGCTGCCAGCAAAGCTTTTAGAAATCTTTTTGTTGTCTCAGCTTTGGGACTTTATGAAAATTTTTTAAAATGCAAATAGAAGCAAAAGGTTTTTATATTTTCTTAAGAAGTGCTTCTTCATGGCTGATGTTTTCATATGGTACATTGTCCCTCAAAGGTCATAAATCACATTCACAGCAATTTGCCCTATGATCTTCCTTTGGAGTTATAACAAATTATTAAATAAAACTTGTGCATACTGGTGTTTAGGGTTCAAGTCTTACCTCTTCCTGGCTCTAGTTAGGATGTTGATATTTAACATACATTTATTTTATTGTAGTATAATTTAATCAAATAGTGAGGATGGTTTGGCTGGAGTATTCACAGAATGTTATTATACTTCTTTTTATTCTTTTTTTTATTATTGTATTGTAAAATATTTAGGGGGCATATTCCCCTCATATTTTGAGATCTTTTCAGATGTTTCTGAAACTCAGAATAAAGCTACCAGATCTATCTTTTCTCATTTGATGTATTGTTCATTCCTTCCTGGTATAGAAGATCACAAATAACACATCCATTATTGGTGTGAAGGATGTTGCAAGGTTACTACTTAAAGATGTTGTATTATCTAGGTACCGATACTGTTTTACTGTCTTAAATATTCAGAAAAACTAATGGGCAAAAAACTATGCTATTTTTTATTTGACTATGTTTGTATCTATGAATGGCATTATGACTTTATAATTTAATAGTTGTTTTGTTTTACCTGGAAGTAGAATGGGGGTACCAATCTTCAAATTTTAAAATAGACGAGCCTTTCCAAGAACTCATTTTATTTTTAAATTCCCTTTATCCATCCTTGGCTGTAAGACAGTATCTTCTACTCTGCATACCTTTTAATCTTAGAGTTTGGAGAATTGTTTTCTTTTTTTATTTCCTTTCTATTTTTTTCTAAGTCCTACTCTTCGCAAGGCAGCTAGAAGTGTGACAGAAAGGTGTGATTTTTAATTTACACCAGAATCTCGCAAATAATGACTTTTCACACCCTGCTATTGCTACTTAGCCTGGGGGAGGAGTTCTCCGGCTACTGTTTGTCATAGCAAATTAAATCCACTGCTGTCATTCAGAAAGACGCTCTTCTATGTTTAACCCTTGTTTTCAATTTTTCAAGGTGGTGTTTGTGAATACTCATGAGTGTGTGGGTTATTACTTTGAAGGGTCCTTCTTTTCTAGGAAATGAGTTTTGAAAGCTATCTTTTCAGATTATCAGGTATAAAAGGTAAATCTCTTTCACCTGTCCACTCTTCCAACTGTGATGCTGGTAATTGTTAGGTATTTAAAGATACAAAAAATGAAAAATGCAATCATATTTATTTTTAGAACTTTTAGCAATAAAATGTAAATACATGAGCTCAGAAATATGTTTATCTTTCCTCACAATTCCATTTCTCTAAAAGTTGCTTTTATTCTGTGTGTATAGAATAGCCAATATCTTATTGTCCATGTAAACAATATCATTTAGCTTGGAAGTTGAAATTGCAAGTAATATGAACAGATAAAAATGTTTTAAGGGATTTTTTTGTTTGTTTGTTTTCCATTTTCCTACCAATCCATTAGAAGTCCTTTGGGATAAATTGCCAAAACAAGGAATGAGCTGCCTAAGAGAACAAAGGAAAAAATTATTAAAATTGGTATTCTTGTTTTAAGTTTACTAAGTGGTTAGAGACTAGTGGCATGCCAAAATAACTAGTTAAAGAATGTATCTCGCAAACTCTGTATACGCTTCTTTCACTTAGACAACTATTAATATATTATTTTCCAATTCTGAATCTGCCTAAGTAAAAAGAACAGTTTCCAATCAACGTGCTAGTTTATCCTAATTATTTTACCAATCAATAAGTTCTAGAACTGAATGGAATATGTCAGTGTATTATTGAAAGAGAGGACAGAAACATTCAGACTCTTCTGAGAAATTCGGGTCCTACTCCATCTTCTTGATAAACCAGAGGAATGACAGTCATTTGCAAGCTCCTTCTTCCAGCTAGGAGCAGCAAGGGGTTAACCAGTCCTGGTTTGCTAAGTATCTGTCAGGCTTTTATCTGATCCTTCCTCCCTTCCTCCTTTGCCCACCCCTTTTGTAAATGTCAACCACTTCCTGAAGAGTCTAGTAGTGGTGAATTTCACACCTCTCTTTTCTTTGTGAAGAAACCTGGGTGTTAATGGTACAGGATTGGGTACCATCTCTGGTTGTTAGCAAAGCCTAGGGATGCCTGTGGGGGAAAAAAGTAGGAGAAGGTGAAGAAATTTAAATCCGTCTTGTTGAGTTTTATTAGCTACTTTTAAATGTGTACTGGAAAAATAGTAATTTTCAAAAACCTTAAAATTGAGAGTCTAAAGGAGTGTAGCCAAGAAGGAGCTGGTTGTTAAGAACAACAATCAGAAAGAAAAGCTGGAGCATCCTCTGATCTTTCACTCTACAGGTGTATTTACAGGATACAGCAATGGAAACTTGGTCAGTCGATCAGGTCTGCAGTTGGTTGATGGAGAAAAACTTAGGAGAGCTAGTTCATAGGTTTCAAGGTGAGTTGTTTACACTTTCAAAACCTTGTAATTGAGCAGCCTAGATATTCAGATGTCTTCTGTTATTGAAACTTACTTCTGTTGCCCAATGTCTGTGTATATGTGAATGTATATATGGAGCTGTGCAGTGGGGAACTTTTTATTTTTTAATTGACTGTAGCAGAGTTCCCATTTGAACCTAACATCCACAGAAGAATATGTTTCAAGAAGAACTCAAATAAACCAAAGTCTTTAGAGTTACTTAAACTACGTGTTTGATATATACATTTCATATTGCTTTTGCTCGTAAATAATGCAGCCTATGTGTTGGACAGTGTTGGGTTTACACATGTTGTTAGCTAGAAGACAATACTAGGAATAATTTTCTAAGAAGACTTTTTTCCATATGAAAAGGATGCCTATCAGAAGGAATTAGAATGGGGAGAATGTCAATGTGGAAATAAGTTTTTATTGTGTCTCTGTGTTGTGATACATAGGCTCAGACATCAATTTGGAATTAGACAGTATCAGAGTTCTATCTTTGTTAAAAACACGGGGAATTCTATAACTGCAGAGGACCAGTTTAGAAGATCATTTTAACTCCACAGATAATTCTGCCTTGTTCAGGAGTGCCTGTGTTTTATGGTGCTTTACAGGGAAGCCATATAGAAAACTAATTTCTTCTTTCTTTTTCCCAGAGGAAGAAGTTAGTGGTGCTGCTCTTCTAGCACTTAATGATCGGATGGTTCAGCAACTGGTCAAGAAAATTGGGCACCAGGCTGTTCTGATGGATTTAATTAGAAAATATAAGCAGAACACTCAAGGACAAAAGTCTTATGGCAACCCCAAAGAGACAGCTCTTGCCGCACAAACACAATCAACCCTAGAGTGAGTATGTTCATAAACAGCCTTGGTTTTGATTCTGTGCCTTCCCCCCGTCATGGCTATCAGCATGACATTTGGGGTTTAATGCTTTTTGAAAACTATGACCATTTTCACTAGATTGTGTGTACAGTATTTCTTATATTTGAGGAAAGGACATTTTGCAAAATTTTCTGAAGCAAGATACATTTGTTTTAAATTCACCATCTCTTAAACTGATTCCTGTCAGTAGGGAAGACCCTTGGCAGGGAGTTCCTATGTAAAATGCTGTGGGACGAGCAGCTGAAACATACACATAACACAGGTAGAAATGGATGCCTGGGCTCAGGTTTTAAAATCAGGGTTTGGAAAGGGATCTTTGGCTGCTCCTTCACTTTTCCCAAAACTGTTTATTTATTTGTTTAGCAAAGGATTCCTACAGTATTTATAATCTCCTCTGGAGGATTTCACAATATAATTCGCTAAATACTCTTGCCACATGAGTTTTCTAATTTGTTAAGAGTATCCTTAGAATAATGAATGCTATGATAGCACCCCCAGAAAAAAATGTAGTTAGAAAAATTAGTGGCAGCAGATGAAAGCTCTGAGGTTTGGGGATGGGTTTTTTTGGTTGTTGTTGTTGTTGGTTGGTTTTGTAATCACTGACTTCTGTAATGAAAAGGAATGACAAAAGGATTTATAAAATTAAAAATATCATTTTAACAAATCTGTGCCCCAGGATCATTTTGACTGGGTTTTTTCATATTGAAGACTTTTTGGAAGGTTTCCTAAGATTAAATATTTACTGCAAACTAATTGTTCCATCAATTTTAAAGCTAAGATTATTGTGTTTGGTGAAATCCAGTCTACGTTTTCACTTTAATTTTTTAGATGAAATTTGTAAGAATATAGATTTTTCTCTCTTTGATAAGCGATATAATGTTAGAGAGTCCTGGCTTATGCCATTTTATTTGTAGAATATTTGGGTATTTGGGACATGGCAAGAGAAAGGTAGCCTTGAAAAGATGGTGTATAGTTGGACTGGAAAGTCACCCAACTGAAGGATTGAAGGATTCCTCCTAAACATTGATTTGGTGTATCTACATAAAAGCACACTCTTGGAAAGTGACTGTGGACAAAGTTCCCAGTGCAGGCTCTTATTCCTGCCCAGCAAAAGGAGAGCTGGCATCTCAGAGAGAGATCAAAGTCATTTCCAGGTGGTTTTGGATGAGCAGGACTTTTGAGCTGGAAGTTCCCTATGGTTGACTGGAATCTTGATATTGCCTGAGGCACAGCTTACAAGAAAACAGGCAGCCTTGTTTCCACTGCTTTATAATGTTCTCAAGTAAATGAGAAGTGGCTGGACTGCCAGGAATCTGGGCTTCATGCCTGGTTCTGCTGCTGACTTGGGTTGATTATATTAAATGCCAGCATTCCTATTTCTTCATCTGTACCTTGTGAAAAGTAGTATGGTACCTAACTCCTTATTAATTCACACTAATGTTAGGAGTATCATGGTCTTTGAGCAAATCTTTCCCTCCCAGATCAGAATAGTCTTGTGTTCAATATGAAGTTTTGTTAGCCTAGTTAAGAAAGCTAGTTTCAAATGTAGCCGAGACTAGGAATGCTGCTTGTACCAGAATTTATGAATGGGGACTTTTTACTCTACCCAGTAAGCAGATGACTCACTTTAGGGGTTGTGCTGTCTTGTATTTAGGTTAAATTATTCTGGTGCAGAATCAGTAAGAGACTTCTGATTGGTTATATTTGGTTAAAAATACTTATTGGTTATACATTGTCAGATACACTGGCACTTCACAAAGATACTGTCAAGTGGGAATGATGGTAGAAAGAGGCATGAGAATGTGCTATTTAACTAAACTCTTAATTTTTTTTAATAATTAAACCCTTAGAAGTGTTTAATAAAGAGAAGAAACTCAGTGAAAAGAAAGAACCTTGAGGCTAAGTATCAAAATAACTTGATTTTAAAACTCTATTATGGTATTAGCTATTCTTCTACCTTAAAAACTGGTTTGGCTTTTTTTACTTTTAACTTCTTCAACTATAAAATGAAATGACTGGAATAAATAATGCATTAGGTCCCTTCCAAAGAATCTATAATGGCATCCTAGAACAGAGATAGATGGATTTCAACTCGAGTGCAAATTCTATTTAATGGCTCCTGGTTGCCTGGCGTGTTATTTTGAAAAGGATTTTTATGCCACATCTGGGCAGGATTATTTGGCAACCTGTTCAGACCTAAGCAAATGATAGTCATATGAATAGGAGTATTTGCCATTGCATTTTGGTGGTTGTTCTTATTGAACCTGGTAGAAAAAAAAAATCACTAGACAGGAAGGTGGAAAAACAGTTCAAATCCCAGCAATGCATAACATGTGGCCATAAGCAAGTCACTTCGCCTTCTGGACTTAAGTTGCACCACTCAGAAAAATGAAGGAGTTGGTGGGATGTGGTTCTCAGATCATGATATCTCACAGGTTATAAAATGTCCCTCCAAATGGCAGGCAGCAGAGGAGGGGATCTGAGAAAGTTAACCGTTTTATTTTACAAATAAGAATATTAAGTTAAAAAGGTACATTCTATGATCACCATCATTTCACAAAAGAAAGAATTATTTTCAAGCCATTTAGAAATACAACAGATAGTGAAAACAGCACCATGGCCTGGCGTCAGTCTACCCTGTGGCCTATAAGAACTACTGAGGGAGATTGTACCAGAAGGTCCTCCTTTCAGCTCTCTTGTCATGAGTCTAATGGAAGTGGACACAGGCCATGTTTACTATGGGCTGACACTACCCTCAGAGAAGCTGTGAGAAGAGGGCTCATGGCTCCCGCCGCCCAGCCCCTGACACACACCTCTTCTTTTTTTTTTTTTTTTTTGCAGTTTTTGGCTCCGGCCAGGTTTGAACCCTCCACTCCAGTATATGGGGCCAGCACCCTACTCCTCTGAGCCACAGGCACTGCCCCTCATACCTCTTCTTTCTTTGTTTCAGAGATGAAGCAGCTTCCAGTGCAGCCAGCCAGGGGGAGCAGATGCCATCTTTCTATCCAACCAAAAACCTTGACAATGGACGAATTGACCAAAGAGTATTGAAACAGAGGTGGGGGTGCCAACTTTAAGACATTTTAATACCAAATAATATTATAATATTCTCCTTTTTTTTTAGATGAGATTTCATATATGTACATGTTTTTCTCATTTAAAACTTTTTTATTTTCCTGGAAAGGAACTTTTTAAATAAAGTTATGGCGATGGTTGGTAAAAGAGAAAGATTAAATGTCCTTGTCCTTGTATTATTAGGAAAAGCAAAGTTTGGAAATGATATCGTACATCTTTCAGGTATACATTCTTAAGGAAAATGAGGATTTCTCTGTTCATAAACTGTTTGGGGTGCTTGGCAGTAGCCACATAAATGGCATTTATTTAGTGAATGATGCTTCTTAGAGTATACCCCTGGGGGAGTCTTCATTTTGTTTTGAATTTCTTAGTTTTTCCTTTGACTTGACCATTCGTGATAGAGACACTGTTTTGGTAAACGTTTCCTTTATGTTTCTACACTGGATTTTACATAGTTTAATCTTTCAGTATTTGGATTACATTGGACTATACAATGGAAAACTAGAGATGGGGAGAATCACAAATAGGAATGTGGTGCTGAGGATGATCGTGGATGAGCTGTGACTCCAAAGCCTAGAGTATGTTATATCCATCTGGCCCAGGTGAACTGTGCTTTCAGAACTCATAATTCTCTCCAGAATTGATGGCTCACCCTATAATCCTAACACTCTGGAGGCCAAGGTGGGTAGATTGCTTGAGCTCAGAAATTTGAGACCCGCCTGAGCAAGAGCGAGACCCCTGTCTCTACTAAAAGTAGAAAAACTACCCATGGGTCATGGCAGATGCCTATAGTTCCAACTACTCTTGGAGGTTGAAGGAAGAGGAGGATCATTTGAGCTCAAGAGTTTGAGGTTGCTGTGAGCTATGCCAACATGGCACTATATCTAGGGTGACAGAGTGAGACTATGTCTCAAAAAAAAAAAACAAAAACAAAAGACCTCATAACACATATTATCTTTAGTTGCTAATATGTAAATGCTTTTCCTTAAATGTACTATCATTGAAAGGAGAGATTGTCAGCTTGTCAAGGAATCATCAGGCAGTAGCCAAGGAAGGGTGTGGTGCTTTGTAGTTTTCACAAACCCTTCATAATGTCGTCTCGTTTAGTCCACACAGCAGTCCTGCACGGTGGGCATTAGTCTCTCCTTTTTGTAAATGAGTAAAGCTGAAATTAGAAAAGTCAAAGGCTTTCTAGCTAGTTTTTCCAAAAGGACTGTTGCCACCTCCTTACAAGATCCACTACCATCAAGGTGAGAGCATAGGGGACCAAGGACAACAGCCTCTGACTCTGGCCTGTGAGACCCCAGCCGCCCAGAAAGCACAGGGAAGAGCCACACCTCTGCTGAGGATCCTGCAGGTGTGCCTTGGTGCTGGGCTTTTGTGTTGGACTTCAGGGCTGGGCTTTGGTGCTGGCCTAGCCTCTCTGTTCTCCTTACCCTACCACCCTCACCCCTGCACCCCTTCCCCAGCTGCAAGGCCTCAGCTCCCCAGGATCTCCCAGGGTCAGTCCCATCCTTCTCCACACTCCTGACCCCTGTTTGGGGTAGTGAGTGAGATGATGGAAGGACATGTCCCAGGTGAGAAGTTGGTCTTCCTGGTTTGAATTATGGTTCCAAAAATGGAAATACATTTTAGGTGGCTGTGATTCCCCTCCCCTACTGCCCTCACCTCCTGCTTCTGCTCAGGGGTGCTTGTCGATTCCTGGAGCTCCCCCAGGATTGGCTCCAGGTACATGGAGTAAGCCAAGAACTCAATCACCCCTTCCAGCATGAAGCTGCTAACACCCTGGCTCCTGTCTGTAACTGCAGAAGTGTGTGTAGAGACCGGGAGAATGATCAGGCCCATTATGCCTGCCCCAGTGTCCTCATGTGTAAATCAGATGACACTCTCGGTGGTGCTCCTGTGAGCATTAGAAACAGATGCCTGCTGAGTGCTGAGCACAGCCGGAGCTCATGGAAGGCACGTGTTCAGCCATTTCTCCAGCCCTGCCCCTGGTGGGGTTTCTACTTTCCTGGGGACATCTTTTTTCTCCCTACTTGCTGTCAGTGGGAGATGAAGGCACAGCCTTCTATCCATGCAGGTGTCTTTTCTCTTTCTAAGTCCTTTGGTGACATCTGATCTTCACAGTGGCCCTTTGAAGTGACAGGGCAGGGTTAGCATTTACATGGGTCACAGCCCCGTGCTTCATGGCACTTCTTACTCTTCATAGCATCTGGAGAAAAAAAAATAGGACTGGCTTAGCAGTGAAGAGAAATAGGGTTTGGAAACCAGGACCCCATCCTTATCTCTAATCATAAGGTTCCTCCATGGCCCTGGACTTGCTTACTGGCCAACCCGCTGCCCATCTCTGCACATACCAAGTCAGAGTTGACACGTCTAAAAATGAACTAACCCCCCAGCCTTATTACATATTTGTGGGTAAGAAACAAAAATCCACTCAAACAAAAGTCCATAAGAGTTGATCGTAAGAAAAGCTTTCCCCAACATCCTAGGGCAGAGCATGTAAGCTCCCTGGACATGAAGGAACGGGTGCTAGAGGTGACAAAACTGTCCTCCTGTTCTTGCAAGGCCACCCAGCCACCATCTCTGCCTCTGTTTCTCCTCCCTGACTGGCCTGCCCCATTCCCCTGCTTCTCCTTACAAGGACGGGTCATCCTACTGCTCCGGCAGCTTTGTTCTCCTTAGACTGCCTGGTGTGTGACCCTCCAGTGGAGCACTAACTCCAGGGGAAATTCTCCCTGAAAACAGCTCAAGTCCTCCCAGTTGCTTCCTTCAGGGGCCCAGTGGGGCTCTGGGGTCCCCTGCTGTGTCATCAGCTGTGAGGGGGAAGGGGCTGATAAAGGCAGGGCAAGGGCTCCTATTTTAAAATTTCCCCTCTGACCCTGCCCTTATGCAATGTCCTGTCTCAGTGACTCCACCATCCTGCCCTGTGAGCTGAATCACTGAAGCCACCCTGATCCACTCTTCCAGCCCTCTGCCTGGTCATTGAGGTGCTTATAGGCTAAGGTGGGAATAGAGATTTTAAAGTGAACAAGTCATTTGAGTTATGAATGACTGCCTGGTCCTTCGAGTTATGCATTTAGGACCTGTGGCATGACTTTTTGTCAGGCTGTGTAGTTCCCTTCCTTTATTCAATGTCCTTCTCTATCAAGCCTTCAGTGACATTCCCAGCCAGGCAGGAAGCCCTTCTATGTGTAGAAACCTCTGTGTATCTCTCGCATTACTGATAAAACCAAGTAATGAAATCGATAACTTTAAAATCTCTATTCCCGCCTTAGCCTATAAGCACCTCAAGGACGAAGACCATTCCCTTTTGCCATTGTAAACCCAGCATTTAGTTCAGCCACTGGCTCGCTGAGACTCACCAGGAGTCTTAAAGTGAGCATGTATAAGCCAAGGAGAGACTCGAGTATATTTTCATGGGACAGGATAAATATTTGAGTATTATCAATTTCTTTTTAGACCTTTTTATGCAATCCATACTAAATATACTATTTTTTTTAAACAAAGCCAAACTACAAGGGTTTATAAGCCACTCACCCATAATAGGCTAGAAAACCATATATTCCCTTAGGCTAGAAGCCGGAGGTATTTGGTAACAGGGAAGTCACAAAGCCAGCTGCTCTTAAGAGTAAGGTGACCAGATGTCCCACTTTTGGTGGGCCAGTCCTGATTTTTAACAATGTGCCCTGTGTCCCGTGGCATTTTTAAAAAGTCCTGATTTTTAGAAAGAATGCATGACAATCTATGGAACAGCTTGGGAATGAAGAGGTTAATGTAACTTCATCTGGAAATGAAAAGGCTAATATAAACTCCCTACTCCCCTCCTGGGCAAGGTATCAGAAGGAGACTGGCTCCCTCCCTTGCTTCTCGGCAAGGACAATTAGCTCGGAAGGAGCCAAACTGTCTGGAACAAACAAGTAGCCCCCTCCCTCTAGAGTAAGGTGACCAGATGTCCTGCTTTTGGCGGGACAGAGTCGATTTTTAACAATTTGTCCTGCGTCCTGCAGCATTTTTAAAAAGCCCCGATTTTTGGAAAGAATGCACGACAAGCTAGGGAACATGGGAGAACAGGAAGGGAATATA